TTCCTTCTTCTGATTGGTTGGAGAGCGTCATTAAAACCATGTTCATGTAACATAGATGAGTTCTGCTTCAGTCTCTGTTCATGTAGATCCAGATGGTGAGTTCTTCTGTGTGTTTTTCACCTTATTTGACTTTAACTCTGATGGATGTTGATGTTTCTTTAGTGGTTTATTGCAGAAAGTAACTGAACTAAACTGGACTGTTGGAGTTTACACTGTGTTTAAGATCATGTTGGTTTATGCTCATATTTAATGTATTTCTTAGACATCAGTCAATTTTAGTGTTCATGGTTTCCATGAATTTGACATTTCAGAGTTCCATTAATCTTAAAAACAGTAAACTTTTTAACTTTCATTGCTAGTATTTTACATTACAGTGAGTTCAGCAGATATAAGACGTGATTTTAAAAGGTTTTGATGGTGAGATTCACCTTTTCCATCTGACTCTTCAGGGTGTTCACATCACTCCCAGTATAGCCATAGTGGTCAGACTTTGTTCCATCCAGCTGCAAATAAAGAAACACATGCTCTGGTTCAGGGAATGAGAGTGAAAGGTTTTGATTTTAAAGAAGTAAGTTCAACTTGGAAGTAACTGATTTAGTACTTGTTGGACTTTGTCTGGGAACAAGTTTAATATTTTTTTCACCACTCTTCAAACAAAAGCAGAATCAGAGCTCACAGTGGAACTTCAACTAAATCTGAAAACATCTGTTTGGTGTCTGGTTCTTGTGGATGTTTGAAGTAGTTTTGGTCTCAACAACAGACCAGTATTATATGAAAAGAGACAGAAGAGAGATGAGAGCAGATAAACTTTCTGGTTCATGTCCTGGAGTTTGTTGTACAGGATATTCACAGTCTCCGACCACTTCTGCTTCTCATCCAAATCACATTTCTAATTAGGTCTAATTAACATCTTTGGCATTTCTCTTGTTGCTTCACTGTTGCTCCTTTTCAGCCCTAAATCATGTAAACGAGATGTACTCATCACCCTGGTAACAGAGAAAGTGGAAGAAAATGTTGCAAAAAGGTTTAATTTTAATTAATCAGAATCATTTTCCTAAATCTAGCTGCATAGTTGTGGTTGCTGGAATTGAAGCAAGCAGTGAATGAAAGTGAAACCAAAGTCTGAGAATAAAGCTCCACATGAACATGGATCCTGGTTTCCTGGATGAAAGTCCTGCTTCTGTTTGATGTCTTCTTCAGGAAACTTTGTGGCTCTTTGAAACTCTGAACTTTTCCTACAACGTCACAGTCTTCAGTTTTGGTGAGAAAACACATTTGAGTGAA